ATAGGCTATGGCTGCACCACAGAGTCTGGGCTACATCATCAATTTTTGATAGTGATTACAGTAGGCAATGTGAACTTTGAGTTGAATAACAGAACAGAATTCTAATGAGCGAATTACAGATCATCAAACACACCAATATATTAATATCTACATTTCATGAGAACCAGCAGTTAGGGTAATGACTATGTCGCTGGACTCCCATGTAGTTGACCGTGGTTCATGTCCTGGACCCAGTGGCCTAAAACTCACGCCGGGCGTATATGCATGCATGCCCAAGATTCCGAGAGGAGAATGGAGGAGAAGGGATTGTGGCGTGACCATCTCCTCTGGGGGGTGATTTCTCGCTTTCTGTCTCTATGTCTCTCTCTGTCTGTCTGGTGAGCGCACGTGCCCTATAGCGAAAACCTCTCCAAAAAAAAAAAAAAATGTAGGTTATCAAACAAAAATGAATTTGGGTTAGTTAAAAACAAACTATTAAGTAAAAGTGAGAACTCTTACTCGTAAGTCACAATCATTTGCTATCTTCTTTAAAAGATAGTAACATAGTTCTAAATTAAACAAGTGTCCAGATTATAGCATTATTAGAAAAGTTTGATATGTAGTGACTTCAATTTCAGCAGAGAAAAAAATTTTCTGCTGCTTATTTTTTTCTCTTTTAGTCGTTTTGCCATAAGGTATGTGCACTCGCCAGAGAGAGACAAAGGTGGTGAGAGGGAAAGTGAGAAATCACCTCCAATAGCGGATGGCAACTCTGCAATCCCTTTTCCTCCATCCTCTTCACAGGATCTTCGGCACACAAGCCCATGCACCTGCCACGATATTCAAGCCACAGTGTATAGGACTAGAACCATGGTCATCCATGTGGGAGTCCAGTGATGAAACCACTATGCCATCTGCTGGCCCCCTTACTAGATATTATTTTTAAAAGCAATTATAGAATATACCATAGCATATTTGACTTGCAAACATAACATTTTGTAGAATACTTTCCTAAGATATGTAGTCTATTTTCCATTCATTGAGCTCATTAAAATACAACAGAATGAAAAGTTTTGGACTTAGGAAGGTCATTTGTCCCTGTGATTTTTCTTAAACTCCGTGATTTTTTTTTTCAGTCTCAGAATGTGAGCCTCGAAGAACATTATCAAAAGAGGTGTTATATTGGGTGTAAGACAGTTATTGGAAATTTCACTTTTAACTTCTCTGTCAAGTGGCAGCACATTCATTTTGATGTGAGAGCACTGCTTCATTATGATAAAGCACTAGCTTTGAAAAATATGACATTTTTAAACTGAAAATTCAGGACTTAAATCCAAAATAATGAAGGCAAGAAGATTAGTAATAGAACATAAAAATTGGGGTAGACAATCTCATGCATCATGAACTCATTTAAAAGCAAAAAGGAGGAGCAAAAACCTTACTGTAACTTTCAAGGCTTGTTTTTCACAGTTTGAACACTGGAGTCTAACTCACAGTTCATTTTATAGATCATCTTGGGAAAAACTTCCACATACAATTTTCTTTCCTAAAAAGCACTATAGCTGAACTACACCTACAGAGGCCAAATTAGAAATAGGACTGATTTATTCCACCTTAGTAAGTGTCATATAGGTGTGAACTGCTCTTGAAACACAGCTCTTTTGAGCACAAAAAATATTACTGACTAACATTAGACCCAATATTTGTTTATCATTGTGTTTTTAGTGTTAATGATAGATAATCTCTTTATGATGGGTAACTTACTTCAAGATAGAATATGAAGTAAAAGGAAATACTAAGTCAAACTATAACTCAACCTACCACTCTCGATCTTATATTTGAGTGAAATTTTCTTGGATCTAGTAAGAAGATTATAACTTCTAGTATTATTCTACTTCTACTTCCAATTTTGTAGGTCACTTCATACCAACTAGAAATGCAAACTCATATATAATCTTCATGCCCTTTCTGTATGTGAAAACAATTTTCATTATTGATTTTTTAAAAAGACAAAAAATGATGTGTGGATATGATCTTCCTATTGAACTATGTACATGAATGAGTTTTAGAAATACTAAATGACTTATCGCATAGTTGATAATTATTACAGGATAATTTCAGACTCACAGACTTAACTATCAGATGGGTCATTCTCAAAGATTACACTAGCCTTTAGGAAGACTGCTCTTAAGTAACAGTGACATGTGTTCTCCAGGCTGTTTTGTTTGTTTGTTTGTTTGTTTGTTTTTGTAGAGGTTTTTGCTATAGGGTGTGTGTGCTCGCCAGACAGACAGAGAGAGAGAGACAGAAAGTGAGAAATCACCCCCCAGGGGGGATTGCCACGCCACAATCCCTTCTCCTCCATTCTCCTCTTGGGATCTTGGGCACGCACGCACACACGCCCGGCGTGAGTTTTTTAAGCCACCTGGTCTGGGACTCGAACTGCGGTCAGCTACATGGGAGTCCAGCGACATAGCCATTACGCCAACTGCTAGTCCCTCTCCAGGCTGTTTGTTTAAGAGAGAATTTTGCTATAGGGTGCATGCACTTACCAGAGAGACAAAAAGTGAGAACTCATCCCCTGGGAGGCCAGGGATTGCCACACCAGAATCCCTTCTTCTCCACCCTCCTCTCTGGATTTTGAGCACGCATACACACATGCACAGCATGAGTTTCAAGTTGCTGGGTCAAAGACTCAAACCGTGGTCAGCCATGTGGAAGTCTAGCGACGTAATAGTTACGCCATCTGCTGGTCCCTCTAACTTGGTTTTATAAGACTGTTCTAATAATAAAAAATCAGTAGAAGTTGTTCATCAACTAGTTACATGAAAATATTAAAAATCAAACTTAAAGGTAATAGTTTGAGGAATACTTAAAAGGACAAGCCCTTTGATTGGAGTCTTTATCTTTCACACTCATACTTTGCCTTCATTAATTTATTCTAAACCTAATCCAAAAGTGAACATATTGATTAAAATGTGGTTATAAATTATAATAATTACCATTGAATCTTACTGCTAAGACAAACCAGCTATTTTCTCTCACCATGGCTATCCTTATAATAGCATAACCAAATATGTTTTTCTCTCTTCTAAAATTAATGCTTAAGATTATTCTCCTGAGTATTTTAACATCACTTCAAGCATCGCATTACTTCTGATACATCATTCATGGGAAAAAAGAGACTAGTCCTATCCCTCACAATTGAGGGTGTCAAATCGTTGTATATTTTCCTTTGACACAGAAGAGAACTCTTCCATTTTTCATCCTTGCTCTAGCTAATCTCATTTTTATTAATATATGTTATGCATAAGTATTAGACATAAAAAGCTAACAAAATTAGAAATTATAGCTTTTAAAGCCAAAAATTCACCTCTTCTCATTCATCCTTGATCTTATTCCTTCTCATAAAGGGAATAATATTGTGTGCATCTTTTCAGACCACTTTCTGGACAAATAATCTATATCTACATCTATATCTATCTAAACACACACACACATTGCTTTGTATTAAAAATGGGTTTAGAATATGTATTGTTCTAAAACTTGGGTGTTTTTATTATGCTTAATAATAAAGGGGAAAGTAGCTGTAATTCAGCCTTCTATTTGGGCTCTTCAGTTAAATTTACTTATAATTATATAGGTCACTAGTTAGTCTATCTGTTATTGATTTCTCTTAGCAGACTTTATGCTTCTTCATTGACAAACTGTTTTGCTATATTGAAAGTAACTATAGTCATGCAATAGGATATAATAATTTTGGATGAAAAATTTAGTAGACATTTGAACAGTATACAAGTTGGTTTATTTTGGCACATATGACATATTTCCAAGTATGAAAGCAATCCCTAGGAATAAGAGTTCTTACACTGACACTTCATAAACTGACTACATGTAAATTGATTATATTTACTTGTTCGAACACATGCATAGGCCATGAATTCCTGAAAAACACCTACTATTTACTAAGAGTGATACATTGACCTTGTTTTTTTACAAATGTCTTTCTTCTGTATTTCTCTCGTAGTTTGCTATTAAAATAGACCAAGCTGAAGATTTCCTCAAGGACACTCATGAGTTTGAGAGTGCTGAATCCTTAAAGTCACTTCTTCAGCTTCATGAACATCATACAAAAGGCAAGAAGCAGGGTTATTCCTTATATAAACTTTATCTGTATTCATTTATATATTTTATTCCTTATATAAACTTTATTTCTAGCATTTAGAAGATGTTAATTTGAGAGTGCTTTTGTATTACAGTATATTTTACATTTATCTATTTATGTATACCTCAGTTTTTTTTTCCATGAATGGTCAAATGGAGCTTTTTTTTCTTGGTCTTCTTTTAAAAGAAAGAACTAGTTGTCAGTTGCAAGATTCTTTTTTTTTTTTTTGATTGATTGATTTTTGCTATAGGGCACATGCTCTCACCAGAAAGACAGAGAGAGACAGAGAGATAGAAAGCGAGAAATCACCCCCCAGGGGAGATGACCACGCTGCAGTCTCTTCTCCTCCATTCTCCTCTCAGGATCTTGGGCACGCACGCACACGCACCCAGCGTGAGTTTAAGCTGCCGGGTCCGGGACTCGAACCACAGTCAACTACATGAGAGTTCAGCGACATAGCCATTACGCTAACTGCTGGTCCCGTCAGTTGCAAGATTCTAAGAGGATGGTAGAAAAAGAGCTTTCATGAGATTTAATTGTTCATTGTACTAGATTTCAGGTTTTGAGAACAGAAGCCATTTCTGCCCTGTTTATCCTTTTATCCTCAGCAACTAGCAGGTGCCCAGCACATGGCAGAGCCTCAGGAAATCTATGTTGATTGAGTTTAAGTGGTTGAATTCAGTGAGTGTCCTTTCTAAGAACCAGTGAATAAAGGTCAGCCTTCTTTTCAAATTAAATTTAGTTTTTTTATTTGTCAGAGGGCACTTGTACTCACCAGAGAGATTGAGAGGGAAAACAAGAAGTTACCCCTGCATTGGGAATGTTTATGTCACAATCCCTTCTCTTCCATTTCTTTCTTCTTTTGGCATTTTGGGAATGCAAGCACACACACCTAGAGTGTTTCTCAAGCTATCAGGTCTAAGACTCAAAAACAATGTGGTCATCTATTTGGGATCCAGCTGCCTAACCGTCATGCCATGGGATCACCTAAAAATCAGTCTTTAAAACAGCAATATATGATGAAAATTCTTCTTTCGCTAGTATGTTTAAAAGAGAGAGAGAGAAGACTGGTAAATATCTTTGAGATAAAGAATCTAATAAAACACTATATGAGAGATTTTCAATGTCCTGTGAACAACTGTAAAGATAATTTAATTGTTAACCAACAATTCACATGCCATCCCTTTTCTACCGGAATTTGGGGTAGGCCAAAAATGGGGTGAAAAAGGCATTTGTGAAAGAATAGCTATTTACTGTCATCTTTTTCTGTGTAAGTAGTTTATATGAATAGATAGTAATGATCCTTTTCTTCCTAATGTGCCTTCTAATGATTACTGCCAAACACAACTAGGTATAAATGGAATGACTTCTGAAGTTCATTTGTCATAGTGCTAACTTGACTTCCAGTTCCACTTCTAGGTCCTGATTATGCTAATCACTGGCAAAGATGTTTTAAAAGCCACAAATAGATTTTGTGTTTATATTGCCCTTCAAAAGACCTTAAATAATAGACCATTATGAGGGACCAGCAGTTAGCGTAATGGCTATGTTGAGGGACTCTCACGTCCAGCAGTTAGCGTAATGGCTATGTTGAGGGATTCCCACGTAGTCTCCAACCCGGTGGTTTAAAACTCACGCCAGGTGCATGTGCTTGCATGCCCAAGATCTCGAGAGGAGAATGGAGAAGGGAATGTGGCGTGACCATACCCCCTGGGGGGGATATCTCGCTTTTTGTCTCTCTGTCTCTCTCTGTCTGTCTGGCAAGCACACGTCTTGCAGCAAAAACCTCTCCAGAAAAATAAAATAGACCATTATGATACTTAACTTACTACAATTTTCCCAAAATTTTACAGGACTTAGTATTTCCTGTGTAAGTTTTTATAAACTCTTACAAAATGCATAAATATGATTTTCGCTGTTCTATAGTGCCTATCAGTAACATAGATTATAAACAGCATAGAAAGATTCAGCATTAAAGCAGAGGCCGTCTTTCTTTCTAAGGCAGCAGTAATCATGCTGGGTCCAAAGGATATGGGCAGCCTCACATGCGATTCCTTATTGGAAACCTGAAAGTGAACCAAGTCCAGGTAACTGAGATGGGTTTGTTGGTCTCAATTCAAGCTTCATCCAGCCAACATGATCATCAAACAGCAGTTTTACCTGCAGAAACCTGACAGTGACTGATGCTTTTGTTAAAGAGATTCTTCACCGAGGCAATCAAATGAAAGTATCTAGCCAGCAGTTGGTGCTGTGGTTAAGGGCGCTGGACTCCCATATGGCCGACTGTGGTTCAGGTTCTGGACTTGGCGGCTTGCTTTCACACTTTTCCTCTCTCTCTCTGTCTCTTGTTCTGTCCCTCTCTGGTCAAAATTATAAATAAATAAATAAATAAAAGTTAAATCAGATAATTCTTAAAAAAAGAGAGAAGAAAGCAACTTCCAGAGCAACTGGGGAGTTGGAGAAGTAAGAAGACTTCCCATAAATATTTAGGGATGAACTTAGAAAGGGAAAAGTAGCCTTAATGCTGATTCCTTGCAGGTGATGCTGTTAGTTTTTTTAAAGTATCGAGGACCTATGCCCAGCAGGCCAGTTTATCTGGGGTACAACTTGCTACGTTGGAGGCCTTAGTGCGCAGTGCCTGGCAACAAGCTGACTGTGGAACAAATGTCTTGCCTTTTATGGGGATGGCCTTTGAGAGTCCACTGAGCCTCCTCTTCCTATAGAGAAAAATGGTTGGGGAAGACAGGCAATAGCTTATTTTCATGATGACAAATATTTTTTCCATCCCGATGGTGTATTTTTGTGTCCCATCATGTGATATTGAAAGCAGAGGGATAGCAGAAGACTCTGATCAGAGTACCTACATCTCAATTCATATGCCCAATTGTGGTTTCAGGAGCTTTCTTTTCATGAAGTGGGAGTTGGAATTTATTAACCAAGTAACTCAGTGGGAGGTGATTGAAGATTAGTTGATTGAAATGCATATTTACAGATGAAATTCTAATTTGCTGTTAAGGGTCTCACATTTATTATCTTTGAATTTAAAGAAATAAATTTGTAATTGCAGCTAATAGTCCACTAGATTCTCAGTCGAACCCCACATGCCTCTGTGTATTTATCTTCCCACTCAGCAGCCCCAAATTACCCTCAACTCCTGTGCTCTAAAACTCCTCTTTCTTAGATAATTCTTGAGTATTCTTAGCCTTATCCCTGATTCTTTTCTCCTGATAAATTTCTGAGATATTATCAGCTGAGTCAAATAAACCATATTAGGGGGACAAAGTAACTGGAAGTACAGCAGTGATGTCGGCAGCTGCTGCAGCGGGAAGAGTCTGGTGCGATGTCTCACACGATTTTGCTGGAACAGCCCACCCAGAGGCCAGAAGAAGTCAGAAGGAGGAATGTACACTGACTGTGACTCCATGAATGAATGCATGGAAAGTGTTTGTAAAATGCATGAAGAACTTCTGAAGAGAATGAATCCCGACAGTCCCTCCATCACATACAGTATCAGTCAGTTTGACTTTATCAATGATCTGGCAAACCTCAGCTGCTTTGTTTACTAAGCTGATACCTAGACCTACCAGCCTTATAACAAAGACTGGAGTAAAGGGAAGATTTGTCTGTTCCTTTGTCGGCAGGCCCAACAAGCCAGGAAATAACTGATCTGGAAGCATTAATGGAATGGGGGTGAACTTGGAATACAGGCATGTCCAGCACGCTGCAGTGCAAGGTTTTGTGTCAGAGTATCTGGTTTCCATTTTGTGACACCCTAGCCAAGAGCAAATGTATTTGATGACATGTGAGGATCTCGCTCAATCTCAATACCATGTTGCCCCTCCCCCCTTTTATAACTTAAAACATTTTAATGATGATTTAGAAGGAGGTTGTTCCTTCTCAGTTAATATGGGCTCCAATCTTTCAAACTGTTCAGATCTGCTTTAACACTTACTGTACTAACCCTTCAAGGTGGGGTGGGGGTGGTGACAGAGTGTAGTTATGTCCTCAGGGTAAAGTCTTAGTGAAAAATAAATAAAAGTTCTTTAGTGGAAAAAAAAAAAAAACAACTGGGAAACCTATAATCAAACTTATCCTAATATTCACTTTACTTCAGTAGTTTTCAGCTATACTTTCAGCTTATTCAGCAATAGTAAGGCTATCTTAAACTCTAAGAAACTTATCTGTGGCATTGCAGAAGTCAGAACCAGAGAAATGGGTTGAAATTTATGCCCTCTGGAATGTTATAGAAAAAATGTATTTTCTCTCCAGTGTGACAATTATTGAAAATCTGGCGATTAACACATCCTCTCCAACCTTCTCTTTTAGAGTTAGACATTCTTAATTAGTTGAAGTCTTTTCCAGAGAAACATGGTTTCCAGACTAGCCTGGTGGCTCTCAATTCAATAACATGTAATTAAAGAATGTTTTCTTAACCTACCCCTAATGAAAAATCCAGAGCCATTGTCAGAAAACTGCATGACTCGAGACCTTGGGAAACCCACAAGTTATCAGGGTATGCACATGTTTGTTGGTGACTTCCCTCTGTGCTTCTGTGTGTACCTCTGTTACACCATCCAGCAAACTGTACTGTTATCGTTCATGACCCGACTGAGAGACTGGCTGACAGGTATGCTGACTGAGTGCTATCTGCATATAATTCAAATGTAAGGCATGGTAGCATGACACAAAAGTGAGCAATAAACCAGATGCTACAGTGACATTAGGAGTAGAAAACTTGTTCTGAACTCTGATGGGACACTGTCATTCCCTTCAGTCTTTCATTGGCTTTCTTAAAATGAACACTGCTTTGGAAGCTCCATCACAGGAAGAACAGATTATCACTTTTGTTTTCTTAGATGTTGTTTATGTTTTAAACATAGCTAAAATGTACATGAACTCTTCAAATACTTCATGAAAAAATGAGGCATGAGCTTAAAAAGAGTTTGCACCAATGCAAACCTGTACATAAAT